GGAATTGCAGTGTGGGGATCTCTCTCTCTCTCTCTCTCTCATCTCTCTCCTAAGTGCACACGCCTTGTAGCAAATAAGCAGACAATTAAAAAAAAAAAAAGCATCTCTTTTTATGGCAGCCAACTTTCCCTCATTCATCTGTTTGCTCATCCTCGCCAGGCTCCGTGCTGGGTCTGGGGCGATGTCGCCACAGGAAGCAGGCGTCTTTACTTTCCCTGACACTCCTGGCTGCGTGACCCCGGACAGTTCACTTTGCCCCTCGGGCCTCGGTCTCCTCATCTGCAAAGTGGAAATAACCGTGTTTTTCTGCAGTGGGAGTTGTGAGGGTTGGATGAGGGGCCAGAGGCGGGCAGAGTCCTGTCGGGCAATGGTCCTGCAAATTTGAGAGCCTCCCTCCCCGGGATCTCTTTGGGATCTTGCCCCACCCCCCAAAGAGTAAGTCTAGCCCTGGGTGGTGGGGCCCAGGGGTGTGTTATTTCCAGCAAGCACTCCCTCAGGTCACACTTGGAGAAAATGGTTGTGGGTGTCAAGGGCTAGGTGTCCCTTCTCAGCTCCCCCATCCCTTCCCTGTATTAGCACCCTGCACCCCACTATAATTAATACCAGCGCCTGGTGGGGCCGGGTGGAGCTCCTCCTCCCAGAGCTCCTGGCCCAGCAGGCACCTGGGAGCCGAAGAGTGCACAAGAGCGAAGACTGCTACAAGTTCAATTACTCCTCTTGAACTCTTGCCACACCCCGTGGGGGTCCATTTTCCAGGAAAGCAAACTGAGCCTCAGAACGATGACACAGTGTCCGGCCTCCAGTCCCCCAGCTGGGGAGTCCTCTGGGCCTGGGGCTCTCCCGGTTCTGCCTCCATCCCGTTCCCTTGTGACCTACAGGTATGTGTTCTGCATATGTGTGTGTGCGCACGCCTGCAAAGAAGTGGTCTATGTGCTAGCGTGTGTTCCAGGGGTTAGACCTAGTGGAGGTGTGTGCATGTGTTCACAGGCCTATGGTGTGCATGTTTTTGTGTGTGCATGCACACGTACCTCTGGGTGCACACATGTGTGTGCTATCATCATGCGTCTGTGTGTCTCTGGGTACACGTATGGGTGTGTGTATCCATGCAGGCTGTTCAGGCATGTCCGTATATGTTGTGTTTCTGTTTGTGCACACCTATCTGCATGCGTGTGGGTGCACACATGTCTGTCTGGCGCATGCACATGTGTGCCATTCCTGAAAGGAGGGGCAGAAGGGTGGTGCTGTTTTGTGTCCTCACCCCCGGAGCCACACTGCCTCCTGCACTGATGGGGCTTTCTGACACCCCTAGGCCCAAGCTCCCCTGCTGGGTAGGCAGCTGGGGTCCCCGCTCACCGGGGTGAGCAGTAGGTGACTGGTACTCCTCCTCCGGGGGGGCCTCCTTCTACAGCTTTCGTGTCCCCCTCCTCCCCTCCCTCTATCTCTCTGCCACAAGATGGTTTGCAGGAGAGTGAGGGGTGAGCTCTTCCCTCCTCCCAGCTTCACCCCCACATCTCTCTTTGGGGGAGGTTCTAAATGAGCCCTTCTGGCAAATTCCACATGTGCCCGGAAAGCACAGGGGCCTGCAGAGAGGGCCTGCCTCGCAAGTCCTCACTTAGCCTCTAGGATTCCTTATAATCAGGGCATCCCAGCGGAGCCGAAATGAACCTCAGGTCATGGACTTGAGTCCCCGCTCTGCCACACCCCAGCTGTGTGACCTTGGCCAAGTCCCTTGACCTCTGTGAGCCTCCTGTGGGGACAAATGATCCCTCCCCAGACTTAGCTCCAAAGATTTAGCTGCCAGGATATTTATTCCTGTGAGGTTTGAAAGTGGTTAAAAAAAAAAAAAAAAGGTTCAACCACAGCAGTGCATGCTGGGAGATGCTCTAGTCATGGGTTGAGGTCACATGGGAGGCCCAGGTTCAATTCTCAGCCTCCATCTAAAAAGCCAGGTGTGGCAGGGCACACCAATAGTCCCAGTCACTCAGGAGGCAGAGGCAGGAGGATCATGATACATGGGGCCGGCAGGTGGCATGGTGGTTAAGGGTGCTGGACTCCCACATGGTTGATTGCAGTTTGAGTCCCGGACCTGGCAGCTTGCTTTCTCATTTTCCCTCTCTCTTTCTTTGTCCTTCTCTGGTCACATGAAAATAAATAAATAACATAGAGTTAAAAATAAAATAATTCTTTTTTTTTGGGACAGATTTTCACTGTAGGGCGCGTGCGCTCGCCAGACAGAGAGAGAGAGACATAGAGACAGAAAGCGAGAAATCACCCCCCAGGGGGGATGGTCACGCCGCAATCCCTTCTCCTCCATTCTCCTCTCGGGATCTTGGGCACGCACGCACACGTGCCCGGCGTGAGTTTTAAGCCACCGGGTCCGGGACACGAACCGCAATCGACTACGTGGGAGTCCAGCGACATAGCCATTACGCTAACTGCTGGTTCCCATAAAATAAAATAATTCTTAAAAAAAAAAAAAAGAAGAAAGACAAAACAATACCAAAAACTGGATGGCTCTCCCAATTCCAGGGCACGTTAAGCGGTAACTCTGGAGCGTCCGATAGCCCGGTCTATGAAGAGCGATTTAGAAATTGGGACGACATTGGGGAGGGAGCCTGAGCAGGTGACCACGCGATGTGGATAGAGTCTGATCTCTAGGTTCAGAATTTAAAAAATAAACATTAAAAAAAAAAAAAAAAAGCCTAGAAGGAAATGCAACTGTGTTACCCTAGGGCCCAAGACTCTGGATCATGACACGGGTCTTCCTTTTGTTTATCCAAAATGTCTAAAGCTTCCACAGGGAGCAAATAGCTTTTGTCTGGAAAAGACCCATGGTGCTATACAGAAAAAGAAAACCACTGTCCCACATTGCCCGGGAGGCTAGAGAGAGGGACAGAGAAGCAGGGCTCCTGGGGCCTGGGCCTGGGCCAGGCAGCCTGCTGCCCTCTCTCCACCTCTCCCTGCCTCGCTGCCACTCACAGGGGCTGGCCCTCCACCCCCAGCGGGAGTGGAAACAGACTCATGCCTTCTTCCTCTTCCGCCTTTCTTACCCCACCCTGTCTTGAGTTGGAAGGGGATGTTCGAAGCACTCCAGCTGACCTCCCCCAGGCACAAGGAGGGAAACTGAGGCAAAGAGGGGGAGGGCTTGTCTTTAAGTAGTGGCTTCTGGCTTCCTACATGCACCCAGTGCTGTTTCTATCATGCTAATCTATCTTTTAAAAAAAATCATTATTTATTTTAGTTTTATTCATTCAGTCATTTATTTTAATTTGACCAGAGAAAGACACAGAGAAAGAGAGAGAAGGAAAGTGAGAAAGCAAACCACCGGGTCCAGGACTAGAACCGTAGTTAGCCATGTGGGAGTGTCCAGTGCCTTAACCACCATGCCACCTGTTGGCTCTGCATGCTAATCTACCTAATGACACACAGGTGCACTGGGTAAGAATGGCAGAGCACAACAACCGTGTGTGTGTGTGTGTGTGTGTGTGTGTGCACGTGTGTGTGTTTTGCTCCTAAAACAGCTTTGTAGACAACCGGCACTGGTCTCCTATTTCTTTCCGGCGGGAGGTACCTGGAATCATATGGAGATTTATTTAGCAATGAAGCTATTTTTTTTTTTTCCCTGAGAGATTTTTTTGTTTTAGGGCATGTGTGCTACCCAGAGAGACAGAAAACGAGAAATCACCCCCCCTAGGGGATGGCCACACACCACAGTTCCTTCTCCTCCATTCTCCTCTTGGGATTTTGGGCACACACAGACACGTGCCCAGCGGGAGTTTCAAACTGCCAGGTCTAGGACTTGAACCATGGTTGGCCATGTGGGAGTCCAGAGCCTCAACCACTGTGCCATCCGCTGGCCCTGTGAAGCTAAAATGCTTTTGCCATTCCAGGGACAAACGAAATACATGTCCTTTCATTCATCCAACATCCTGAAGGCCTATTCTGTGCTGGGTAGGTTTGGGTGAGGTTCTTGCAGCTTCTCAGTCTTTTTATATCAGAAAGAGAAATAGTTTTATTCCCTCTGAGTAACCCTCTACATAGGGGCAAAGAAAAAAAAAAAAAAAGGAAAAGAAAAAAAAAAAGAAAGAAAGGAAACCACACAGTGCTGAGGGAAAAAGAATTTTTTATTAATCTTTCTTTTTAAAAAAAGCTTATTTTTTTCGGTCTTTTTTTGTGTGTGTTTTTTTTAGGTAAACCTCTTTCCGCCTCCCCTCCCTCACTTCCGCCCACCCTCCTTTTAAAAATATAAAAATGTCCAACCCCCGATATCTAGAATACAATAAATAAACAGTAAACACAAAAACATACTTTATTTGTTTCTTCTTTATACAAAATAAGGAAACTAGAAGCGTTCAACTTCCAAAAAAGTATAATATTGTACATCCTGACGGCCCAGCCTCCAGGCCCTAGGCGGGGAGGGTGGCCTGTGGGTCAGAGCCCAGCAGCCATGGCACCTCGCCCAGGGGCACACAGGGCGGTGGGCGTTCGAGGGGGGGGGGTCTGCACCCTTGGGCTCAAAATAAACGTCGAAGATAGGAAGTGGGGGAGCTGGCAGGTTCTTCACGTCCAGACTGCCCCCTTCCTAGAAAAGCTGACCTTGAGCCTCAAGTGCGGCCACGAGGGGGCGCCAACTCGCAGGTGGATTCGTCTTCCTCCCCACGACCCGATTCCTGCGCGCGGCTCCCTGGCGCGCTCTCTCTCCATCCTCTCTCCCCATCTCGCTCGTCCTCGTCTCCCTCCCCCCTTTCTTCTCTTTCCC